CTGGTTCCAAGTGACAGTCAACTTGTAGTTGACCAGCAGATAATGGTATTCTTTAACCTTAGCACAAGCACAGTTTCAACTAGATGAATGCATAATGAGAGTGTAGATACATTCCATGAAGTCAGCAGGGAGGGAGATCCATGACTTGACTTGATATCCATATGCTGGAAGGGTGTCATTAAGGAACTCACAGAACCTTTGATGGAGCCGATGGAACACCATATCTGGCTGACCATTTTCCTCCAAGTCTTTCAGGGTTTGGGTCACAACAACATGTGCACCAAGCTTAATATGATCAACTGAGGTATGCTCACTGACTGCATCAACTTCTGGATCTGATTCCCCAGAGACAGATTTCTTGAGGTGATCAACACACAATCTGAGAAGCTTCGTAGCAAGAACTTGATGATCTACCTGCAAGACCTAACATGCATTTTAAAGTGACTGTGAGTAGGAGTGTTGGCACACATGGTTGTCATACCTGAGCAGGAATGTCTCTACTGTTCGAATGGTGTTCATATGTGTCTTGGATTGGCTTATGCATACTTTCATTGGGCCAAGTGCTATAGTTGTGTGTGGCACCCTTTAGGTGGATATCTCAAACAACATGCTTCCAGAGGTGGACCTTCAGGAAATTCCAGTCAGTTCACAGACTATCAATGTTGGATTTCATGATGCATTTAGTGTAGTCCTGAAAATGACACATTATGACAAATTGGCATGAGCACGAAGCATATAACTACCTTCAGTGTCTGATCAAATGTCAATATTTCATTGTTGATCATGTTAACTGTATGTTTGGTCTGGACATCTAAGCCAACAAGGCTATCAAGCTGTAGGTAGCTTCAGATGACTCAGAGGAGCTGGTACCCTTCAGGGGTTATACTCTTCTTCAAAACATTGATCCCCATGTAGAAGATTTGCTAGGGAAACAGTTCATTGACAGCTGTCCAGTATTGGACACACATACCTTGGAGATATTGGCCAGCTTGTTACCATCTGAAAAAGTGACATGAATAACTTAGTTGAAGTGTGTGAGGTTTTGCCAGCAAGGAAAACTTGCAACACTGTCGTTGTCAAATGTGAGAAGTGACAATGTTCAGAGCAATTGATTGTAAAACAGTGACTCACTACTTCTTGATGTTGGCTTTGATCTGTCACCCGAGTGCCTTTACAACCACCTTTAGGTCCCCAAAGACATGCTTGCCCAAAAAACCATGCCCATAATGCAGTTGATCAAAGCTGCAGGTGAGGTGGAGATCAGAAAACCCAATCAGCCAGAACACATTCTGCATCCCATTATATATTAGTTCACTGATGGTGATTTGTTGGTGGAAACTTACTTTGATCACTCATAAACCTAACCACTTCAGCAATTCATTGCCTTCAGCTTGATTCATAGCATGAACACATAATGCATTGATGCCCTGGGCATGCATACAAGGTTCAAAAGTCCTAGAGAGGTCATGGAGTAGCTCTGATGGTACAAGACATACAGGGCAAGGGCATTTGCCACCATGACCATGAGTGAGTGCCATCATGCATCTGTAGTAGGCCATTGAGTTAGTATCATTAGTCCAAGCAAGAAGAAGGAAGTATTTTACATCTCTTCAAAATTGGCAGACAACATCATAAGACTTGGAAAGAGCCAATGGGTAATGTTGTTGTGTGAAGATGTATGTATGTACCTAGTCTTTGAGTACTGCTCAATCTCCAGAAGAAACTTTTTAAAAGATTTGTGCCAAATGACATGCTTGAGGGTTGTGTAGCCTAGCTTTCCCTCTTCTTCAGCATCTTCAGGGACCTGAAATGTTCTTAGCCTATATGAATATGAATATCTAAACAGTGGATGTCATTCACAATAGGCAGCCAGCTGACAACAGTACCTCCACCAATGACATTGCTATTCTGAATCTCAACTGGCAAGTTTGCACAGTGCACAACAATGGGGTAACTCTTGGCAGTGCCGAAAGATGATAGGTTGGATTTGTCAGCATCAAGGATCAGGCCAAATGGCATGGCATCCTTGATATTTGGTAGACTCAACTAGCACAAATACAACATGTTATGTACAGGTAATGAATGACATATCGACCAGGCACATACTTGAATATCCCACCAATAATCTCTGGTCCAGGGCTCATTGTAAAAATGTTCATACTCAATGCTGTTGTGTCTGTAAAGTTGCTGTGCACCCCAGGTGAAGTGTGGACCAAGGAATGGATTTTCTAAGATATCAAGTGCCCACTCCCACAGTGGGTGAATATGTGCTTTGAACGTACATTCTTCCTTTTTGTATGGTACCTTAACTTCAACCCTGGAGAACTATTTAGGTAGGTAGGACGGATGGCAATGAATGGATATTTGAAAATCATACCAGAGTGAGTTCCATCGCAGCTGCATCACATGCTTTGTGAAGTTTGGCATCATTCTTGAGCATGACTTGGGCAGCTCCCTGCATGACACAAGCAAAGAGATCCAGCAGGGCATTGACTTGTTGCTGGTTGAGTAGTGAAGTGAGTGTGATTTCTGCAAACTTGAAGTCACCCAACATGCAAAATGGGGACCAAGATGTTTTGTCAACTGGGGATGGGGACTTCTCACTGCAAACACAGAACTCTTCATAAGACTGATAAATTGGTGGTTGATTGCTTCTTGGATGAAATTGGATCTTGAATTCAGGAAGTTTTGCCACATTAGAACTTGTGGCAGTTGGCATCAACACATCTGAGGGAATTATGAGCACTACAAGAACATGCACTGAAGTGAATACGTACCTGAGGCTTGGAGCATATTGCTCATCTCATTGTAATCTTGTCCCATAGTCACCTCAACTGCAGCTGCAGGTTGTCTGAGACTAGGACCACAACATAAATGGAAATCAGACTCACTGGGTTCATCAATGAAACAATATCCTGTATCCATGTGGTGAGCTTCAGGCACTCAAGGCTGTGATTTGAGTACTGATGCTCTTGCAGCTTGATGGTGGGCAGCTGAGTTAATAATTGAAGCCAGAAACCATTACATTGGGTCTGCCTGCACTATGCACCAATTCACATACCTTGTTGTTTCTCTTCATACTGATGTTCAAAAGCTACACGCTCCCTCTCATCTTCTTTGTGCTTCCTGCAACTTGCCTTGTGCTGCTTGAAACTGGTTTTCTGAAATTTCCTGTTACAGTGAGGGCATTGATGGAGAACAGCATGATTCCATTCAGCATTTTGACAGGTCAAAGCTGAATGGGTGGTATGGGAGGGAGCCATGAGAGAAGATGTATCATAGCTGGACTAGTTCATCCTTTGATCCCAGGTTTGGCTGATGTAAGACAATGTCATGCCATATCAGTCATTATCAGATCATTATCACTTGGTAACTCAGGTAATTCCCATCCAATAAAATTTCTTCCCTTGGCACTGCCCCCAAGCCATTGACATGTCATTACCAGACCATTTTAATGACCCTAATAAGGAAATATGCAAGCATTGTCAGCCAGCAGCATTATTATGCACCTCAAAAATTTGTGACAAACCCCCAGCCATGTCCATGACTATTCCCAAGTTGTGGATGAAGAACTGGTTGTCCTCACTGATGACTCCACTGACACTGAGCAGGAGAAGTCCATGGAGCAGGTGTGCTGACATGAGGAGATCAAGTGGAGAGAGAGAGTGTGCAAGGCAGAGCACAAGGCCAAGTGCAAGGAGGCCAAGAGGCAGAAGGCAGAGGAAGAGTGCTTGGAGGTGGAGTGGAGGAAGAGAGTGGAGGAGGAGGAGGAGGCTCAAAGGAAGAAGGTGGCAGAGGAGGAGGCAGAAAGGCAGAGGCAGAGAGCCTCTGAGGAGAGGGCTCAGGCCAGGTGGGACGAGGCTGCACAAAGGTAAGTGGCAGAGTACTGTGAGCCAGGCAGAGCTGAGTCACAGTTTTCTTTTCTTAGACTATGCAGCATGGTGTATGATGTCAACACCACCTGGAGGGTCCCTGGGACCTCTGTGGTGGTCACCATGACCAGGCAGCCCCCCTGTACTCACTGCATAGTGAGTCTGACAGTGGGACAGTGTGAGCCTGGGCAAGGCAAGACCAGGGCCTGTGTGCCCTGCCACAAGAAGAAGGTGTGTAGCTGGACAAGGGAGGACACCATGGCAGGACCATTGCAGAAGAGAGTGGGGACAGGCAGCTCCCAAGGGGAGAAGAAGAAGAGACTGTGAGGGAAGGGGAAGGAGAGAGCAATGGAGATGGAAGAGGCAGATGACAAGTGGGAGGCAGGCAGAGAGGAAGACAAACCAGTGACCCTGCTTGAGGGTCCTCCAGGTGCAGGAGTCCACACATGGTGGGCAGAGTGGGAGCAGGAGTGGCAGCTGCAGGCAATGGAGAGGCAGGCTGAAGTGCATGAGACCACTGTGCTGGCCTTTGAGAGGATGGCAGAGGCAGCAGAGCAGATGGCTGCAGCTGCAGAGTGGACAGCTGATGAGTGGGCACTGTACCACACCTGGCCAGAGTGGGTGGAGATGAGGAGGAAGGAGGATGCATGTGAGGCCAGGATGGCTGAGCTTGAGTGCACAGGCAGCAGTTGGAAGAGGCCTCAGTTGGAGGTGGTGGAGGACCAGCATGAGGAAGCAGATGAAGGTGCCAAGGGGGATAATGAGGAAGAGGAAGAAGTTGGAGGAGAGCAGGAAGGTGGAGAAGAGCAGGAGGGTGGTGGAGAGCAAGTGATGGAAGAGTAGTGTAGATTTCTTTTTTGTTTTTTTTTTTGTCTTTTGTTTTTAGTGTGTATATTTTTGTACTATTATGAAATAGACTTGTGGTTTTATTTGTGGTTCTGAGAAGTGAGATGGATAAGCAGAGAAAATTCTAAAGTACTTAAGGTAGTTTGGTAAGGGGTGGAGTTGGCCCACAGAGGAGGGTTATGTAGGTGGAGTATTATGGTGGAGGTTGGTATGGGCCAGGTTTGTGTGGATAACATTCATGGAAAGCAGAAACTACATTGGAGGCATGACCCAGCTCAGTTGCAAGCAACCAAGAGGTTTCCTCATTGGTGTTCTCATAACCAGTCCAGCAGACTAGGTACAAGAGTTGACAGTGGCAGCAATGGTGGTCCACCTTAGAGTCAAGTATCTCCAATACTTCATACACAAGGTCACCATCAACATCCACTGGCAGAGGTGGAGGTTGTTAGTGGTTTGGGAAGGGGTTAGCCACTGTGGCTTCCAGTTGTGAGACATGGATGACTGGATATACTGAGCACATAGAGTCAGGGAGCTTAAGGGTGATGGAGTGCATACCTGGCCTGGCCAAGATGGTGAACAGACCTAAGTACTTTTCAGAGAGTTTTTCTGAAGGGGAAGTGGAGCAGAAGTACTTGGCTTTGATGTAGGCCTGTTCTCCAACCTTAAACTCAGGTGGAGGTATGTGTTTGGTGTCTGCTGGACCCTGGTAGCACTGCTGAGTGGTGGACATTTCTGAGCAGAGGAAGTCATGAAGGGCAGAGAGCTTGACAACATAGTTGTGAGCCCTTGGAGAGGTGAAGTCTTGGTCAGGGACCACAGACAGGTCTGGATGATATCCCTTGCTAGTGAAGAAGGGAGAAATGCCAGTAGTTGCACTTGGTGTGTTGTTAAAAGTGAACTCTGTTAGAGGTAGCAGCTCAGCCCAGTTGTCTTGTTGGTAGTTACAGTAGACATGAAGGCACTGCTCAAGGGTCTGGTTCATTCACTCAGTCTGGCCATTGCCTTCTGGGTGGTAACCTGAAGTGAAGTGAAGACACATATCAAGGGCCTTTCCTAGAGGGCAGAAGAAGTGTGAGACAAACTCAGGACCTCTGTTGGAGGTGACATTAGCAGGTACTCTGTGCTTGGAGAAGACATGGGTAAGGAAGAGCTTAGCAAGTTTGGCAGAGGTGATGGAGTCATGAGTGGGAATGAACACTGCTTGCTTTGAGAGGCAGTCCACCACTATGAGGATGGCAGAGTAACCATCAGAGTTGGGGAGGTGTTCAATGAAGTCCATGGAGATGGAGTTCCAAGGTCTCTCTGGGATGGGGAGTTGCTTCAGCAGACCATAGGGGCAGTGATACAGAGTTTTGCTCTGTCCACAGGCAGTGCAGGACCTGACATATTCTTTCACATCAGAGTGGAGGTTAGGCCACACATAGTCCCTGCAGATGAGTTCTAGCATGTAGTTCTGCCCAAAATGGCCTGCAAGAGGATGGTCATGCTTGAACCAAAACACTCAAAGGTGGAGATCATCAATGTCAGGGACAAAGATGCAACTGTCAAGGCAGAGTAGACCGTCAGAGTCCAGGGACCACCAAGGCTTAGTCAGAGTTGGGAGGTGGCTGGCAGAGACAGGGGCAGATGGTAGGGTGGAGATGATGTTGGAGTGCAAGCACTCAACATCAAAGACCATGGTAGTGTGGAGCACAGGTGCCATGAGGGTAGTGGTACAGGGGGATGATGCAAGTTGCTCCTGTGTAAACATAGGGTGGAGATTGTGAGGATTTACCTGTGCATAGTCCCTATCCCCCCCTTTTGGGTAGACATCCCAACATTGTGTAAGTGAATCAGGTTTGGCTCCTAGGTGGCCAGGTCAGAAGCAGATGGAAAGATTAAACTGTGAAAGGTACTCCAACCAGCAGGCCTGTCAACAAGTGAGGACCTTAGAGGTGGAGAAATACTCAAGGTTTTTGTGGTCCATCACCATGTCAACAGGTAAGGCAGAACCTTCTAGGTAATGCCACCAATGGCAGAAGGCCTCGAAGATAGCCAACAGCTCCTTGTCATGGGTATCATAGTTGAGTTCTGGTGCAGTCATGGTGTGGGAGAAGAAAGCAACTGGGCAGAGTTCACCATCAGAGCAGGTGAGTGACAAAATACTGGCAATGGCATAGTCAGAGGTGTCAGTTTCCACTGTAAGTGGAGTGTCAGGAACCCAGTGAGTGAGAACAGGAGCAGAGCTGAAGGCATCCTTCAGGCAGAGGAAAGTGGAGCAACACTCCTTGGAAAAGTTCCAAGGAGCACCCTTTCATGTGAGGTGAGTGAGTGGAATGACGATGTCAGAGTAGTTATTAATGAAGTATCTGTAGAAGTTGGTGAAGCCAAGGAAAGACTGGATGTCTCACACCTTCCACAGCTCAGGCCAGTCGCAGACTGCCTGAATCTTCTCAGCAGACATGGTGAGACCAGAGGGTGAAAGAACATAACCAATATACTCAATGGAGTTGGAGTGAAACTTGCACTTCTCTGGCTTGGCATAAAGACCATGCTTTTGAAGACAGCAGAGTACCTCTTTTATGTGTTCACAGTGTGACTCCATGTCCTGTGAATAGATTAGGATGTCATCAAGGTATACCATGACAGACATCAAGCATGTCTGCAAAGATGCTACTAATGAATCACTGGAAAGCTGCAGGCATGTTAGTCAGACCAAATGGCATCACCCACCACTTGTGAGAACCATAACAAGTGCAGAAAGCCATTTTCCATTCATCTCCATCTGTGATGTGGACTAGATGATAGGTATGGCAGAGGTCAATCTTGGTGTAGACTTTAGCACAGCTTGGAGAGTCAAGTAGGTCAGAGATGAGTGGCAGTGGATAGCAGTCTTTTTTTGTGATTTTATTGAGTCCTTGATAGTCTATGCAAAGGCAGAGTGAACCATCCTTCTTTACAAAGAGGACAGGGGCACTGTGAGTGGAGGTGGACTGCTTAATGAAACCATAGCCAA